AAATTCTCTAAGACGATAATGGAGTAAGACTCCTTCTTACACCTGATTTCTAAATCAAATGCTAAATTCATGATTGAATCTTGCAATAGAAGTAATATTTGTGTGGATATTGTTGTTGAAATGTATATGAATTTTAAAATAAACAAATTTCTATTGGAAAAACCTGAATACAGGTTTTTCCAATAGAAATTTGTTTATTTTAAAATTCTATAAAAAATTAATTTTCTTATATACGGGAAATACTAAAGATAATCATACCCTGCATAATATTCAAAGCTGTGCATTTTAACTGCAAGATTCGTAAAATACTTTGTTGTATTCTATTATTCTATCCTTATTAGAATCAAATTTATTTTCAAAAGCAGTCACTTAAAATAGAAATTTTCACCATCTTGCCCTTTAGGTTGGATCTAGACCAGGAAAAACAAAAATTTAATAGCATTTATTTCTATTTCATTTACACTACTTTTTTTATGTCAACTCAAGCAATATTTAACATTAAAACAATAGCGGATTAACGTTATACTCAGTATATATATATATAACCGAGTGCATACATTAAAAATTTTAATTAAAATTTGTAAAAAAAATAGAAATAGCACACTTATTCTATTTCAATTCAATTAACAAAAAAAAATTTTTTTTTTTTCAACAATGAAAAGTTTAATTACTTGAAATTCCAAATTATAATCACAAACCATAACCAAAATTTGAACCGTTTGCAAAAAAGCAAAAATCGTTCTTGTCCACAAAGCGAAAACAATGGCACATACATACATACTTTAATATACATACACATATTATATATGTGAAATAGAAAACTTTTGTTTCCAATCCAGATAAGTGAAAGTAAATTATAAAAATTAAATAATCCTTGAATTCTTTTATTCTCTATGACTCTATGTAAGGCACTGCACTTAAATAATAAATTAAAAACCATTAAATATAAAATATTTTTTATTAGAACAATTTCACTTGTACAATTTAGGTTTATCATATTGTTCAATTGATTTTCAATAGAAAATCCTTCTTGGTTATTATAAATTTCATTGTGAATAAAAGATCAATCATTATCAATCATTATAAATGTGAATTAAATGGTGGTTGTGTAAAATTTTCCCCTATACGTAATGATGAGCCGTGGTGGAATAAATTTTTCAAGTAAAATTCTTGTATATATATTTGTATATATGTATTTAAAAATATAGAAATGCATTTACAATTATAGAAGTGATTAAAAATAAATGAAAAAAAAAAATTAATTTTCTAGATTTCGTGATTCCAAGTAATTAATAAAATTTATTAAAATGCCATTTAATTGTCAAATGAACACGTACAAAGCAATTAAAGCAAAACTATTAATTCTTGTACATTTCTGAAGTTCTTTATTATTTTATATGCATTTTTATTTACATATATGCAATTCCGACAAAGTCTACATAGTAGTATGCTCTGATATCAGATATAGTGCTAAATTCTTGAAATCACAAAGTTGTGTATAAATTTATTAACATAACTTTTAGCTGACAAATATAAATTACGAAATAGGGGAGTTGCAAATTTAATAAAATAAATTGCAAAGAAAAAAAGTCACAATACGAGGGTCATTTATATTTCGGGTCTAGCAATAAAAAACAAACATTTATCATTGGAAATGGTTTTATTGTTTTTCAAAATACGTAATAACCTTTATTAATAAATTTATTTTTTAAAAGTCCCTTAAATTTTCTTAAACTTACTCTCTGTGAGTGATTTTTCTTCTATATGAGATGCTCAGTGCAATAGTGGGCTACTTGCAAAAATGATATTTCGAGTAAATTGCAATTGAATAATTTAAATTTTTGTAATTTTAAAGAAAATTTTTAAAAGGCAAAAACAAATTTATGTCAAAATGGAGTGAAAAAAGGAGTAAACTAAATATATTGAAAATATAGAACAATTCTTGAGGCCATTTACAGCTCTATTGAATATAATAACTCAGTTTTGCAAAAATGTTGGATAGGCCACTAATGCGCTGAGCCGCTCATATATATATATAGGTTCGAAAAATTTTAATATCTTAATTTAAGTCGTTGATTAAGTAAATTTTCACCCTTATGTGAAATCAAAATTGCACGTCCACCCTAACTCTGTATAATACACGTACACATCTTTATAAGAATACCTAACATAACATATCAGTTTCAACTCTATTAATTATAATTGTTAATTAATATAAGTTTTTCCCCCTGGTCAGTCCATATATTACTTATATTCTTCAACAATTTTCTTGGATCTTAGAATTTGTCTTAAAAATTATTTAATTATTTTATTAATATAAAAACCATCACTAAAATAAAATAAAACATTTAAAAACAGCAACAAATTTGTTAAAAAAAAAAAATTCATGCCTGTTAATAACATTAATGTTAATTTCCAGTAATTAAGAAAAAAAAAAGAAAAAATAATTTTTCTAACCTAATTTTTCAAATAATTGTGTGTTTTTCTTGCCAACATTTATTTTTATATAAATTTGTTAGTATATAAAATGTTTATTCAAAAATTACCACCCAATATTTTCAGAAAATAATCTAACATGCAATTATAACAATTTCATAAAGTTCAAATATTAACATACACTATAGTATATACTTTTTGAACTGTTATTATTTTTGATAACATCATATTTAAATAATAATTCATAAATGTAATATGTATATTAACTACAGGTACGATAATGCCTGTTATTGAAGACAAAAATTAAGTAAATAAAAACAGAATAGAAAAAAAAGAGAAGAGTATAAAATTATAAAATTTCTCCCACGACATTAACATGATATTGATGTAGTATTAGAACGTATTAAAATTGTTAAAACACAGAGAAAACTTTTTTACTATCTCTTTAAAATTAAACTTTACTGCTATGCTATTAAATACAAAATCCTATGCTACAAAATTTTGTTTTACATTATTATTATGTACACAAAATAATGTATAAAAGTAGTTTTAATGTAAGTAAGTGTTTTATCAGTGAACGCTCTAAAATTTTATTCTCATAAATATTTATTACTGTTGTTATTATTTTATTTTAACGAGTTTGTTATATAGTTAGAAGGAATTATGCTTGTTTACATGGTACGAGTATATGTGTGTTTGAATAACATGAAATAATTAAAAATCATTTTCCATGGTGTTTGATTTTCAATGAAATTTTTTATAAATTAATTTAAACATGCACATTTATTAACATATACATAAGTGTAAGTGCATATGCATTATAGATATGCAATCTACAGTAAGAGTTTAAAAAAATGTTATACATGCACAAATGAGCACACACAATCATAATATGTAAAATATTAGAAAGCTTAAAAGATTATTGTTATTATTCTTTTTTCAGATTTGTTGCATATTATTTTAAATATATTTTTCATGAATTTCCAAAAACCAAATTGTTTTCTATACTGTATTGTGGTGCAGTATACGGTTAAATTGTATATATGTAATGTTTTTTGACTTTTATTTCGTGTTTAAATTGAACCATGAATATTCGATAAAGATCAAGATTTATAGGTCACTGTAGACACATAAATATATTAGTGGAAAATTAAAATTTCTATATAATAGCAACAGTGAACTTAATTGAAATTTTTTTTAATTTTAATTGAATAAGCCTATATTTGGAAAAAATTTCATATTTTTTATTTATTTATTTTAATAAAATTTTATTTATATATACTTATTTGTATATATACATAGTAAATTTATATATGAATGCATAGCAGTGTAAAAATAATATTTGCCCTTTTATTTTTAGATTAAAAAAAAATATTGGCTCAACATTGCTCATTGTTCATTTAGAAAAGTGTTGTCAATTTTTTGATCTCAAACATATTTGAGCGACCTTTAAAAATCCTCTTTTAATTACTGTAAATGGTTATAGACAATTTACTAAAGCATTTTTGAAAGATAATTGTTACCATTTTTAAGAAATATGCCTGTCTGTCTGTCATAAACAGTCTTTGCAACCCTGTATGTCAAGTTCGGTTAAAGCGTTTTTTACGAAAATTTATATCAAAGAATATCTCAACGAAGAACGGCTGACCAACATTTCAGGTATTTCGGGAACCTAGAACTGGAACTTTACTAACTTTAGAGCTTTACTAACTCTGATTCTTAAAACAATAAGCAGTAATTTTACTAAAAATATCAGGACAAGAAAGATTTAAAGCTCTGTTTTAAATATAGAAGTCGATTTTACATTTTTATCATACCCGAGGAACCAAAGTTGATGAAATTTCTTGAAATTTCTTGAAATTTAATTTTTGAGTTCTGGTTGATAACGAAATTAACTAGAAAATTTTGCAGGTGAAATTCGAAATAAGTATTTAAAGTCAAATTTTCATATGTATATTCTTGTGGCAACCGTTAAAAGTTTAGTCGGCTCTGTGTTGTTCCTGACCTTTTTAAATAAAAATATCAAAACGTCAATACAAAATTTTTACAATTTCTCAATTTCTTAACCACAAATTACAAAATCATCAAATTCATACCATCATAACAGAAAATTATCAATTTTCGTTATTTATTAAGAATTTAAGAAGAAAAGTCTAAATTTCTAAATTTCAAGTTTCTTTATTTTTTTTTTGTTTGGATCTCATTTTTCATATTTAATCTTGATGCTTTTTGATGATTCCGATATTATTGAACACAACTTTTTTATTTTTTTCTTATGTTTTTACTCTGCTCCTTTTTGTATTATCCTTAAAGTCAATAAGAATTTTATATTAGAAAATCAATAATTTTATAACCGAATTTATAAAATATGAGCGAGCATTCAGTTTTGAAAATTCGGATAAAGAATAAAAAAGAAAATGTAAGAAGACAGATGAAAAAAAAAAATTCAATTTTGAAAATAAAATTTCCATGGCGTCGCCGTCTGTATATATACTGACATACATTTTTCTCCAAAACACGTAATATTTTTATTTTATGTTCAATAATAGTGTCGGTATTCGTACCATCGTTCCATCGTGTCAATAGCAGTGTCGGTATTGTTTTTGTTTTTTGGTTTTCTTAGTTTTCTTGAATTAAGATAATCCTCCATCTTTTTTTGGTAATAAATGTATCCATATTTTATAGATATCATCACTCGATTACTTTGAGAATGTTACAACTCCAAAAATGAAACTTTTCAGTTAAATATGGGAATTTTTTTTGTAGAACATTATACAATTACAAAAATAAAATCAATACTTAGGACAGAAAATAATTTAGTAGTAAAACATGTGGTTACGAGCAATAGCTGCCTAACTCTAGTATGAGTGGTTAATATACCTCAATTATCAATACCCCAAAGCTATGAACAATAATCAAAAATTAGACAATAATTTCAAAAATCTTGTCAATTATCTTATCAATTGTGAACTGTTGCGGCCTGCACTTTGTGACAAATACGTACAAATTAAAAAAATGTTTAACATCTTTGATACTATTAAGTTAAAAGTTTTTTAAAGCTATGGTTAATGGTGATTAAGTAAATTTTATAGTAAAATGTTCCAAAGAGCAATTTAAAAATTAATGAAGATTTCATGTATTAATTCGCACCGCACTGCTCCATATTCGCCGAATAATTTTATGAAATGTATAATAAATGATTTTGAAAATTTACAACTCCCTCATTAAATTTGTTATTCCAAATTAAATCATCCCTATAGTAGGTATTCATAACTATGTCATAATTAAATTTATCCTTATTTATGTATGTTTGTGTAAGAATATTATGTTTTACGGCACGTGTTTCGCCTAGATATTTATTACAATATATAAAAACCATGTGATAAATATTTTTATATGGGACTTAAGTTAAAATTATTCTGTAACTTTTTTATGTTTTTCACATCCTTTACTTTTGTTTTTTTTTTTTTATTTTGGAATACTATTGATTTTACATGGTCGATGGCAACTAATAGCAAAAATTTGATATATGTATACATATAAGAAAATTATGTGATAGAGTTTTGTACAATATATTGAACACGAAAATAAAAATTTGTAAATACCACAAAATATAAAATGTGCAAATACAATAAAAGTCCTTGTAAGTATTAAATTTCTTTTAATATTTTTTTATATTCTAGGATTCTCAATAAGGATAGAAAAAGTTTTCGATGTATAAGATTAAAATTTTATAGTTTTTTTTCTGACAATTTTTGCTCTATTTTTCTCAGTTTCATGTTAAATTGTTTCATTCAAGTTCTTGCAAGAATATAGGCATTTAACTGCTTCAATTGATTGTCTAGAGAGTCTAGATAGAAAAGAATTTTTCTTCGTAAACTATATATGAAAATTTATTCGGGAATCTTAATTTGGTTCTGTGCCACGCTAATATACGATAATATATGATTTTGAGAAATTCGCATAATAACTGGCACATTGATAGTTTATATTTGATTTGAGAATTGCGAGCATTGCATTTCGTTACCTTCATAATTTTTGAGATATGGTCAAATGCTTTTTAAAGAATTTAAAAATAAAATTATTCGATCTGGTTCTTCTATTGTTGACAATGCTGAAGTGTAATGCAATGAAAACCTTCGCGAAGATTCGGTAGCCAAAGTTGAATTTAGTTCTTATACATCACGAAAGGACGCACAAAGAGAAATTTTCGTGATTATAAAACGCATTAAAAGAACTCGGAAATTTCATTAATAATTTATTCAGAAATTAATTAAAAATATAATTTTATTGATCATAAACCAAAAGCGAAAAAATATTAGAAAAAATTTTAACCATCTGATCCGCCTTTGCTTAACTCAAAACTTTCATAAACTGACAAACTTAATTTAATCTTTTATGCAAGTACACAAGAAAACAAAATTTATTTCTCAATTTAAAATACAAATAAAGTATTTTTACACTTTCCCTACTCCTTCTTTATTTTTCTATTCCAGAGAAAGTTTTAATAAACGTAATGAAGAAAAAAAAACAAACAAAAGATTTAATGGTCTAAATAATTTTTCAAAAAAAATTTTCATTCTTAATTAAATTTCAACTTTTAAGATTATTTGCTTTCAATGTTAAAAAATAAGGAATTTAAATCCTTTTTATATTACAAAAGTTCATATTAATTGGTTCAATTTATTTTATCCGAAAAATTAATCAAAATTAAAATGGAACTTTTCAATACCTTCTAAAGTACCTTCAATTAATCAACTTGATAGTAAAGAGCGCGAAAAAAATAAATATTTAATTAAGTTTAATTTGTTTTTTATTTTTTCTTTTTAATAATATTAAAATTTTCTTTTTCAAAATTGAGCAATATATGAACATTTATAATAATTCTTATGAAGGCCGATGAAATGTAGAGTAAATAGGTACGACCATTCTCATGTTGACTTTCATACTCTTCAGACGTGTATTTAAAGTTAGCTATTAAAAAAAGTAAAAAAATTTTTTGAAACAGTGAATAAAAACAAGGAAAACTGTAAAACTATCATTAATTTTTTTTCTTGTGTCTTTACTATTCACAAAGAAAAAAAAACGTGGTACATAAATACTTATTAGCCAAATTTAATGGTGCTGATTGCATCCTTTAAGCAATCATGCCATCAAAAAAAGAAAAGAAAAAAGCGCTATTAAAGGATTCAATTAATGAAAAGCTGTGTGATTTGCTCGACAAAAACGACATAGAAGCCAAAAAACGTAAAGCATTTGAAAATCGTTTGGAGGAAAATGTTTTGAAAAAAGAATTGGATAAACTTAAAAAAGAAAATGAGGAATTAAAAAAATTACTACAAAAATTTTTGCCATCAACATCAAAACAAAATGACGAAGAAAGGGGAAATCGTTACTCACCTTTAATGGATTTATGTAACGAAGATAACGATCTAGATGATTTAGAGAGCATTGAAGAATTAAATAATGAAATTGATCCTTATAACCTAAAAAAGCCTATCAAAATAAGCAAAGAAAAGAAAAAAGCCCAACACACTCAATCAGAGATGTCACCTGAGGTATCTTCAGCAAAAAAAGAAAACAAGATCACCAAAAAAATGCCACCCATCAATCTATTTAATACTGATATAAAGAAATTGAAAAATTTAATTAAAAATAAATTGAATATAAATAATTTCCTTGTTAAAGAACACAATGATACACATGCTACAGTGTTTACATACAATATTGAAGATTTCAACAAGGCACGCGGATTACTTCAAGAAGCCAGCATTGACCACTATACATTCACTCCGAAAAAAGAGAAGAAAATCACATATATATTAAAAGGTTTGAATAATTCGTACACTCCAGAAGAAATATTACAGCTCCTGAAAAATTATGAAACTGAAAACACAAGGTTCGAGAAAGTAGCACGGCTAACTACAAAATATTCCTTAAAAAACGAAATAAAATTGCCATATTATATAGTACAAGCTGCGCCAGGAAGCCTGCTTGGTGAAATAGAAAAAATACGTGGCCTTGATCACCAAATGGTACGCTGGGAAAAAATATACAAACAAAATATTTTACAATGCACCAGATGTCAACGATTTTCACACTCAGCCGCCAACTGCTCCATGCAATTCCGATGTGTGAAATGCGGAAAAAATCATCCAAATGGGCAATGCACAATAACTCCAGAAGACCCAAGAGAAAAACTATTTTGCATTAGTTGTCAGAAATACGGTCATCCAGCATCCTACAAAGGCTGTCCGGCATACAAAAAACAAATTGAATCCCGAGAAAATGCAATAAAAAATATGAAGCAAAAAATCGTAAGTAAATATAATTTGTCACAAAACTTTATTAACAAAAATATTTCATTTGCAAATGTAATTAAAAATAATTGTAGTAAATCTAATAATGTTGATCACCACAAAGATAATTTGTTAAATATTAATAATTCTAACAACACGGATTCAAATATTAATATATTACTAGATATAAAAAACACTTTATTAATATTTCACTCTAAATTTAACAATATTGAAAAACAACTTAAAGAACATTCTGAAAAAATTAGTTTTTTTTGCAATATACTCGAAATGACACCTAACCAACAATATAACTAATATAAACAATAATTATTACAGTCTGATATCAATTAATGTAAATTCTTTAATATCCAACAACAAAAAACTTTCTTTTATGCACTTTCTTGACAATACTGCACCTGATTTCATATGTTTGAGCGAGACAAAACTAAATGAAAACAACAATTTAGTAATTGACAATTATGACATGATCAGACGTGATCGACAATGTCTTATTACCGGTGGTGGAGTTGCCATATGCATAAAAAAAAATCTGTCATACAAAATATTTAGGAGCGAAGTTTTTGATGAGTTCACATGTATTGAACCGTGTATAATATATGCCGAATTAGGGAGAAATAAAAAATTATTCATTATCTCCATCTATGCACCAATCCGAAGTTCGAGTAATTTTATTGATGAATTTGATAAAATTTTTGAAACGCTGAATCTTGCTAACAATAATAATTTTTTTATAATTGGTGGTGATTTTAATGCCAAACATCGCAACTGGTGCAATACATATAATGACGCAAGAGGTGTACAGTTAAATAATTGGATACATAATAAATGTATTCCATATAAATTAATGGTACATAAAACTGATGGACCAACATCCACACGTTCTGACGCATATATTGACTTAGTATTCACTGATATAAGGCTAAATATAAAATACCACGATGCTGGCAACAAATTACTTACAATACCATATGATAGTGACCACAATGCTATTAAAATAGAATTTTCTGTACCTAATAATGAAATGTTTTTAAGAGAATTGCCAGACAATAACAACTTTATGTTCAAATGTACTAATTGGAAAAAGTTCAAAAAAAATTTGGATATAAATTTTGAATTACAATATTCAAATGATATTAATAAGATTTTCGATAATTGCAACCTAAGCACGAAAAGTATTGATTATCATATAGAAAAACTTGATAATATAACAAAAAAAACAATCGATGAAGTGGTACCAAAAATGCAAATTAATAATAATATGAGAAAATTTTATTCTGCAACCTTAAAAAGGCTTTTAAAAAAGAAAAGCACTTTAATGAACGACATCCAT